ATAACTCAGGCATAGTGTTAAATCATGTCTAATCTGAGCCAATACCTTGTCTGGCAGTGTGCTATTGGGTCTTATCAGATCATGTGCTGCTGCCCTTCCCACTGATTCAAGCAATATTCAATCAGTTTAAATTCTATCCCAGTCCCTGTGATTAGTGTTTCCACTCATCTGATTATAGACCTACAGACATGCTTTAAAAATGGGGAATGGTTTTTAGAAACAATCAAGGAAATTAAGAAGTGTGTTTCTGAATCTGACATTGGTGATTCAAAAAACCTCCATCCATCTCTAAAAACCCTTAAATTATCAGCATGTTATATATAGTTTATATTATATATAAATAATAATGTTTACTTTTTGTTTGTTTAGAGCCTATCAGAATAACAAATACAAATAATGCTTTTAGGTTTTTTGTTCTGTATCAAGCATTTGGTTTACAGTGTGACTGCTTACATCTCAAAAAAGTAATAAATGACAGATTCTTCCCTGCAGGTGAACTACAGTCTTATAGTAGTAAAACATTTAAGCATATGCTTAAGTCCGTCTATATACAACAGATCCACTAAATACAATTCAGGAGTTACATGGAACTTCTTCCAGGTTTGTATGTGCCTCTGGAGTCTCCAAATCACAAAAAACCCCTACTGAAAGACCTCAGCTGAATTCAGTGAATTGTCCTGGCTCCATGCAAGGCAAGAAGCTTCCACCCTTGATATGCCCTTCCCTATCTATAGGTACAGAACTCTTTCCAGATTCTACTGAGCTCACTGAAAGTCCTGTGATTAATTTCATCACGAGTGGGAGCCAGACAGAAATATGGTCAGTTTGATGAAAATGCAATGCATATGTTAAAATAAAGTAGGAACCCATCTGCATTTTGTCTGCATGCTAAACAATAATGTGATTTTTTTTTAGTGCTGTTTTTGAAAAAAAAGAAAAAAATTTGACCGTTCTTTCCAAAGGAAACTTGGCAACAGTAAAATCTAGATGTAAAATGTAGTGGTTTAAAATTTCAGGCCACCAACATTGATTTAACAGTCTAAAAAGGTTTTGTTGCTCTGGGAAAGTCCATACGGATTGACACTCTTTCTTTTCCTTCAAATCTTGGTTCAAAAAAATTAAAGTAATTTAAATCAAGTATTTCAAGTGCCAACTTGGAACAAATTTCTGTAGCCAAATGCAGATTTTTAATGGGCAGGCAGACTTCCACTGTGATAAAATCACAAATCATGGAAACAGTAATTCTGCCTCTATCTACAGACAGGCAAACAGACCAACATACATAAAGTGCATATCTCTCAAATAGATTCAGATATTTGCCTTTATAAGAGAAGAAATTATTACTCTTGAGGGGCATAGCCATAAGTGAATCATCGAGTATCTCTCTCGCATATGAAGATAGATGGCATATTTGTCTAAAGATGTGGCTTTTGTCTCATTCTCTCTCTCTCTGTGAGGGAGACTCATTTACAGCAAGGATTTATTCACCACCGCAGAATAAATGAGGATAAATTACACAAATGTATGTGTGTGTACGTGAATATCTACGTGAATTCACTACTCATAGTGAGAGTGATGAAACCACTGTGTTCTAAATATAGACAGAGAAGCATGTAACCATTAAAAAAAATAGCTGTGAATACCTTCTGGTTTATTATCTTCTGACTTTTGTTGTTTGTGCAAAAGCCTTTGCTATGGATGCTGTCATTCTTGCTATGTTATTGTTAGTGGTTCAGCATTCTCATTGGTTGAATTATTCTATAGTACGTCATATAACTGAATTGGAATGGTGGATTTCAGAAATATCCCTCAGTTTCTGGGAAACAAAGAAATCTGGGAGACATTGGTTACAGCCTGTAGAATAGTTTATCCCAATACAAACAACAAACAGAAAATTTAGAGATCACCAACATGTGCACTTCAGGGTATTCGGGACTGTTTTTATTGTGGGCTTGTTTTAGTTTTTAGCATTTTTTTCAATTTAACAGCCATGGCCTATTTTAAAAAGAACAGATTGGTGATGATGTAAACTGGTTAGTTGTCTTCACATGCTCCAGATAATTTGAGAAGACAGTCACACCTTCAGCTGTTTTCTTATGGCTACTTTTTAAACAATTTGTACTATCTCAATCCAATTCAGCTCCAATGAGAACAACAGATTTGAAACTTTTTTTTACCATTTTTATGTATTTTTGGATACAGATATTGCCTAGGCTTTCAATTTCTTCATTCTGGTATACTCTACTTTGCCTGGCTTGCTTATAAATAACGCAGGGCATGCAATGATCAGAGTACTTCAGCCCATGCTTAACTTCACTTGTATCCATAATGCTATGGATGGAATTCATATGGTTAAAATTAGGTATGTTAGTAAATAATCTGTCTGAATGGAAGCAGTGAACAATAAGAACAACTTTAATAGAAAAGCTAATGTTTGTCAAGTGCAAACCATCATAGGGAGGCAAGTATAGAAGATAGAATGTGCACGATTTTTAAGATGCCCAAATTTTAGAAATTCAGGTTAAGGTTTCCATGGTGATGCTATCTTCATCTACTTCCTTATGAACTTGGGTCTCTGCTGAGTTCCACCCACATAAAAGGATAGAACAGGGTCAAAGGTTTTCTGTGCATTTCCAAGTAAATTGCAACAGGAGGAATGACACTGCTCAACTTAAGTGTTTTGTATCTAACATGTCAAAGAATTAGTTTTTCTTTAATGTCCTTTTCTGTTCCTTGGTGTTCACTTCTTAAAGGAAAACCCTGATTCAAGGGTGTGAATTGGAAAAAAAATAACATATTTTATGCAAGACATATCCTTTAATACCAGGAACATGAGCCCAGTGTAAGCTACAGTGAGCAGAAAGGAGGCTTATGCCACTGCTGCAGCAGGACAATCCTGAGGATTGTTCAAACAAATCTTTGTCCACTTGTTTAAATTTGAAAGTAGTTACCCATGGCCCTAAGTATCCCTGTAGAACAGCAAATCTCTGGCCCCTTTCTTGGCCTGCCTGCCTCGCCTGCTAGTCCCCTAGTCAGAAGAATGCAACCTAACAGTTTGAACTGCTAGAGTAGTACAACAAGAGTGGTATAATGATGACAATTTAGACCACAGACCTTTAGCTAAATGAAAAGTAAGTCAGCCTTTAGAAACATGTCACCCCACTCTACACATCACTTTGATTTTGTAATTTCCTCTGCTACATGAAGCATGAGGTTCCTTCTTCCACTCTGCTTTTTCTTTGAGGCCTCTCTGCCTATTCAACCTGCAGTTTTTGCTCAGTTCCCAGAACCTGATGTCTGCCTCTGCTGGCTCTGGTTGTGGGCATCCTTTGCGCACTTGTTACATTTGCAAACAAGTCCCTTTGGGTTACCTTCCCTGCTTCTGCACTCACATATGGGAATAATTTCCTATAAATATCTGTAAAACCTTTTCACTGTTCTCGGTCTTATTGCTCTCTAAAACTCTACCTATGAACAGCCCTAAATCAGCTGGTGTGTTGAGGCAACCACCTGTTATACCACTCAGTTTTGGTTTGTTTTTTCTCCCTACTCGCTTACACCCTTTTATACTGTATCTGTCTCTTACTATGATTATAATGTCCTTGGAAGCCAACATCTAACATAACAGATTCTTACTCTATGCCTAGTACAAACTCTGGGGTAACAGCATAAACATGAATGAGGCAGTTATGCAGGAAATGTGCATCGTCATGAAATGATATCAGCTGTGATAGCATTGTCACAAAATGCAATCACTGCATAAAATACTGATCTCACTGGCTGATCAAAGCTCTTTGACCTCAGTGAAACCAAGGAAATTGATCTTTGCCATTAAATCTTCAGATAGACATGTGGTTTTAAGCAATTTTTTTCTTCATTTACAATGATCAGAAACCTCCCTTTTTGAAGTGATTTTGATAATAGCATTACCTGTTGGCCTGGTAATGTCATTACCTGTCTGATCTAGTCTTCATTTTCATTTCTCACCTACCTGTTCTGCAGTGCAGAATTATATGTGTGCTTATATACTGAAAAAAATATTTATCACTGTTGTCAATAATTAATAATTATTGACAGGGAGAATATTACATGAAGCACTTTGTCTGAATTAATCTATAAATTAGAGGAGGTAATGCTGGTGAATAATCAAGACTGTTTTACATTTATCATGTTATCTGAAGCTAAGCAAACAATCCTTTTAGAAATACTGCTGTACAATACAAGCTGGCCAAAACCAGCTTTGGACTTCAAAAATGCCCACTCATGTTTAGACTGAATATTCAACATTTCCTATTCTTTCATAAATATAAATAACCATTTGGAGGAAAATTCTTCCTAGAAACATGCATATCTCAAACTGGAAAAATAAGAATTATTTTTGAGAAGTGAAAAATGATCTGTTGATAAGAACATGCTGCTTCTATTAACCCATTACTGGGTTTTCATTTTTTTTGTTCATTTTACAAGAAGCTCAGGGCATCCAGTACATGAGAACATCTTTCTCCTTTTCTTTCCCAATTCTTCTTTCTATTTTTCCTCCAAAAACTCAGGACTCAGCTGACATACCCTTGACATTAATTTAAAGCACCTTTTGACAGTCTCTTCATCATGGACAGGGCTGTTCTTTTGAGAAAGCAAAACTCGCCGTCAATTTAAAGACCGTAAGCTACGGCCCGGGTTTCACGCCAAGCATCGGGCTTCCCCAGGTGTGAGGAGGGGTTCAGAGAAAGTTCAATTGCTCACAGCAAGACTGAAAAACGGAAAGGAGCGAGAAAGAAGAGGTCTCCCGCCGCCCAGCACACACGCACATCTGTCCCCGCCGTGCCTGCCCCTCGCCCCGCAGAGCGTACCCCAAGCACATCGCAAATGGACCCGGCGCGGCCGGCGCAGCATGCACTCGCGGGAGGGAAAGGAGGGGAAGGGAAGGGAAAAGGGGATGCCTTCGCACGGTCTGATCATCACCATAAAGAGTTAAAGAGAGAGTGAAATGGCTAACGTACACACACCCCGCTCCATACCGGAGAAGAGTCTCCCAGCTGCGGTTTATGCTCTGTGAGGACCAGGCTGAAACTGACCGCCCCCACGGCCACGCTGGACACCCCTAACCCTATCTCCAGCACGGAGAGCACCAGGAGGCTCCCGATGATCTGGCTGCTGGTGCACATCCTCCCTCGGTCATCCTTCCTTCCCGATCAGCCGGGGAAACCGCGCATCCTCCTCCTGCTCCTCGGGCGCTCCCGCGGCCCTAAGTCGCCCCCAAACTTTTCTTCCTTCGCAGGCAGCCGGGGCGGAGCGGCGCATCCGCGGCCGGGGGCGCTACCGAGGCTCGGCGGGGCGGCCCCGGCGCCGCCGGGCCCCGCGCAGGCAGCGCCGCGCCGGCCCCGAGCGCGGCCCCGAGCGCGGCCCCGGCGCGGCTCCGAGCGCGGCCCCGGCGCGGCCCCGGGCGCGGCCCCGGGCGCGGCCCCGGCGCGGCCCCGGCGCGGCGGAGCTCTCCAAGGTGCCGCGCCGGCGGTGGGTGCGCGGCTCCGCGCTCCTAAGGGCTGCGCCTCCGCCGGGAAAGTCGACCTTGTCCGCTCTCCTCCTGCGCTCTCATTGGAATGACCTCACCGGGATTTTTCTCCCCCCCTTCTTGTTTCTCTCCCCCTTCCCTTCCAGGGCTGGGGGGCGGGGGGTAGAGGAGTGTGAGAGCCCAGCCCGGCTATACTTATGTATGAATGCAGACCCAATGCACGGGCGAGGCGCACGGCAGCCCCGCCCCGGGCCAAGGGCTCGGCACCTTGCCGGTCCTCCCCCGCCCGGCACGGCGCTCGCTCGCTCGCTCGCACACCTCCGCCGTCCCGCGGCGCTCGGGCTGGCTGGGGCGGGACGCGGGAGCCGATGCCAGCCGCAGGCGGACGCTTGAGAGGTGACCCTGCTCGGAGTGGGGGTCCGCAGGCCTCCCCGCTCCCAGGTGCTGCTGTCAAAATTCAGGAGGAAGCTCGTCTTCCTCTTGTATCAGTTAAAGGGTATGCTGTGTCTCACCACTGCAAAACTCTGGTCTTCTGCAGAACCCTACTGCCAAAATAGGCAATTTCCGTAGCCATTCCTGTCACTCACAATGGCCAGAACTGTGTCAGTCCCAAAACAAATAAGCAATAAAGCAAAATAGAACAAGAGATTCAGGGCTGCTAACTTAAGCCTTGCTGGATTGCTTGGCACCAATCTTGATTACTGTGCTTAGATACTGAGGATGTTTTGCCACTCCGACTACAGTTTTACAATCCAGATGTGCTGCACAACATGGTAACACACAGACACTCAATCTAGCACCTTGGTTTTCCTAAATATGGATCACCAACATTTGGATATTTACCTTAAGAAGAGGGCAAAAGAATAGACATTTATATCTCCCAAGTTTGTACCAGGATTCAAAAAATATTGGCATCCTGTAGGATTTAATTATTTCCTCTATATACATGCTGTTTTCTACTCTAACAAAAACTTATATGGAATCTTTACTTTTATCAAAAAATCTGCAATTCTTAACCTGCATATAAATCCAACACTCAGATGTCAGAATCCAGAATGGCAGTCTAGATTTGTCCAGTATTTCATGGTGCAGTTTGGTAGCAAGAGCATAGGATTAGCAAAGTCCTGATTGAATATTTTCCTTTGGACTTCACAACCTATCTTATATTTTGAGAATAGGTATTATATACATTTGTGAAGGTTGGATCCACCATTGCAGGTCAGAGTTTAGTTCTCATTTGTAGAAATCTTCAATACTTAATTATGGTTAGTGGAGATAGATTGGCATCAAAGTCTGTCACCATACGGTGTTTATGCTTTTTAGGTATCCAAGAACTAGAGTAAAAGGTCCTGAGACAGGATCTTAATGCTTTCTAGTTTAATACCTAATCTGTTTTCTATTTTCTCACACTTTTCCCACTTCACAGAAGCAGAACAGTTGGCTACATCTAAAGGAAAGCTCTGTTATAGTTAAAGCTGAATTGCCCCTTTTCATCTCTCATGTTTTAAATGTTACCTGACATCTCTTATCATTTAAAATCAAGGCACAGCATAAAAGTTCCTAAGCTACTATATTTATGTAGGAGGATGGAGAAAGCACAGATTTTCAAGTACCCACATGGGTGTAGGAAGGTGTTTCTGCAATGACAGTATCCTTATTATGTCAGATTGTTATAAACGCTGAAGTGTGCTAAGGTGCAATGATTTTACTGCTCAGAGTATATTTTACTAGGTCTTTAAAATCCAGTGGTGATAAGAGGGGAATTGCATAATGACAGACATAATTAATATATTTAATGCCTGCAGCCAGATAGAGAGCCTGTCACATCAGAATAGAGCTCATGTGACAGAAATAAGATTTCCATAAACAGCTTGTTTTATGTAACATTTCCACTTCAGTCATAATAAGCTGTCAGAAAGATGGAGGGAAAGAGACCTTGTGAAAAGTGTGCCTAGATGGAGATCACTTCATGCAACAGTTAATAAAACAGAGGTATAAAACTGGGGTCCAACAGCAGGAGAGGAAGTGCCCTGGGTGCCTGCTTTCTAATCAGCAGGCTACAGAGACGTGAAGAGCTGAGCAAGACCATAGCCAGAGTTAATGACTGCTCAGGAGGAGCACTCTTTTAGATAAAGGCAGGAAGAAAACATAAAGTTCTAATCACAACCTTTTTAAAATGAAAAGTACAGTCTTTGTCCATGTAACTTGTGTACTATGGTGCTGCATCATCATTATGTGCTAATCTAGGCAATTAACTTTACACATGGGACTCTTCATGCATACATTTCAGCATATGCTTACATCTTTGCAACATTAAGTTATTTATCTGCTTGCTGTCTCAGCTTGCTGCTTTTGAAATGTTTCCTGCATTTGTGATTATAATAACAGAAATATTATAATGAAAGGAAAAAAAAAAAGGAGGGGGGGAGAAAAGGGAAAAATCATTCAACATGCAGGCAAGTTTTCATTATAATTGCAGAAAGTCAAATACTAAAATCCCATCTCCAAAGTAAAATTAATTGGAGTCATGAGGGCTTTGGATCTTTTAATTTAAACTGTTGGATTCATGAACAAAAGACATCAATCTTATTCTTCTTGACTTTGAAGGAAAACTTTTTTTTTCCTCTCTTTTTTTGTCATTGGAGACTTTAAAAATGGTTCATGACAAAAAAAATTTCTAGTCATACAGCAGGATGAAGGGTGATTGGATGACATCGTACTGGCAATGAAGAAGTAGAAATCAGAGCAAAAAGATTCATTTATACTTAGTCCCTTTTACATGTCTCTGATGACCAAGAGACCCTAACAAGGTTATAGCCCCTCTGTTGAAAATTACCAGCTTTATGTAACACTTCTGAGCATGTATTCATAGCTGAGTACACTCTGTTCAAATGGTTCAGTTTATTGATTTCCTAATTCCATGAGTCTCTAAAACAATACTGTAAAGATTTTTATTATGAATAAGAACTTGTCCTATGGCATTAAATCAGAACATAGGCCATTGAATCCAATTTGGCCTAGGAAAATGTGAATAAAATTGAAACTGTACACTATCCTGTGACTGCTTAGAGGATGAGAAACAAGTTGGTGCAGTCCTAGAGGGGAAATACTCCCGAAGTTTTGGTGTTATTAATACGTAGGTATAAGATAGCAATTTTGGACAAATAGACATAACTTTGAATGATCTTGGAAGCTGGATTACTCTTTTACCTTATGGATTTATTTTCTAGTCAGTACCAAGCCTTATCAGTTGTGCTATCTTTGAATATTTGACACAGACTAAATGACTTCTACCAGGATGTTCTCTGGGAGGTAGAAAAATTCAGCTTCAGGGGCAACTTGCAAATCCTCTTCTCTTCACAAGCACCTTATGCTTTCAACTTGCTTTGCAGATTCCATTTCTTTACACTCAGTTTGTCACCTGAATCCCTTCAATTCAGTTTGACTGAAGAAAAACCAAGGAAAACCAGTACTCTGACAAACATCTTTTAAGTGTTTGGAGTGACACACTGCCTTGGGTTCTACGAAGGGTTGCCCATTGATTTTATTCTAAAAGCAGCTGTATCAATTGCATCCTATATATAGAAATGTGTGTGAAACAGCCCTTAGAGTATTCCTTTTTTTTTTTTTTGTGCAGAATCAACTCAGTAAATTTGATTCCTTAGTCTGCTCATACTCTAAATTAGTATGTGCTGGTGTTCTAAAATGGGAAGAAAACCCCATGTAAAACTTGTACAGGAGAAGAATAAGGGAGTGTCATTGATTTTGTCTGTTCAAAGTTCAATACACAGGCAATTTCTGCTGAATGAGTAGTTCAGGCCCAGTAAAGCTAGGATCTGTGTCACTCTAGTCACTGTTCAGCTTGTTGTCACTGCTGGCAAGAGTCTCCTCCAATTTACTCTGCTGTTTGGGAATACTGATCCAAAATAAAAAAAGGAACATAAATCTTTAATCCAAATTATTTATTTGATGTAATGACCAAGAAGAGTCCTGACTTGGTTCCCTTCTTTTTGTTTGGTTAGAGCATGGTGCTAATAACACCAAGGTTGCAGGTTAGATCCCTGTATGGGCCATTCACTTAAGAGTTGGGCTTGTGCATCTCCACCAACTCAGACTATTCTGCAAATTTGTGATGTCCAAAACTAAAAAAAATGAGATAACATTACTGTCATAGCTATATAAACAGAATGTGTAAAACATTCTCTTCAGGATAGTAAATTAACATGTGCTTTGAATTGCATGACTTACACAGCCTGTCTGACATCCTGCCATCTTTCAGTCTCTGCCTTTCCCTTTTTGGAGTAAGTTTTGTATTCCAGAGAAGTCCATTAAATCAAGATTTGATTAAACTCCTCTGATCTAAATGGAGTCAAAATATTTTCTGACAATGAAGACTGTAATAAAGCATTCTCAAACCTAAAAGGCTGTGAAACGGGTGTCTAACTAAAACCTCAGTATGTTGTATATTTCCCACTGAATTTTAGAATCCTGCAGCACTTTGAAGCAGTAAGGTTAGAAGGTATCTTTGGAATATGAGCCTTTGTACAGTACAGCTGTCAAATGAGTTCAGATTTCACCTTAAGAGTAACACTTTTCTGAATGAGGGTGAATCTAACACATGTACAGCTAAATGTGCACTGGATATGCTTTGTGAAACAGAGTCATTACAGCTTCCATGATGCAGATTCCCAAAGCTTACATTTGCCTAAGTGGGAGCACAGCCTAGAGGGCTAGAACAGACCTGCACATGTTAGGTGTCCTGACAGACTACATAACCCATGCATGAAAGGAGTTTGTGCTGCTACAGTGACTGGAAATAGTGCCAACTC